ATTATGTTGCGCCGCCTGTTTCACTTGCATCTCGCGGCGCCCCCCCCCCCCCCCGGGGGGGGGCCTTCGTTGAGGGGGGCGCCGCTAAGGCTCTGCTGAAACGCCCTCGAAGGGTTCCCCTTCTCGCAATAGCGCTGCAATATGTCGCGCCATCGCGCCTTCCAAGGGGGCCCCCTCGCGACGGGGCGCGCGCCCCTGCGATGAGGGGGCGTCGCCTCTCACTTCCCTTGCCAGAAAACCGGAGAAGACGACCATGGCGACCGTGATGTTGATGGATGTGATGATGATGGATGTGATAATGATGATGCGTGTGCTGATGATAGGTGCGATGGTGATTTTTGTGTTTAGCCGTCTACGCGCAATGCCACTAAGCGGTCGGCCTCCGTTTTTGCCGCCCCCTGGGTCACGGTGCCGACGAGCAAAGCCGCCTTCAGCTCTTCCCCAATCTCCTGGGATGTTAACGCCCCCCTCGACTCAAGTTCAAATTCGTAAATTAAAAAATCGCCTAAATTAGCGCCGGGCCCGTAAATTCTGTTCGCGGACGCGCGCGACCGGGCTCTTAATTTTTGAACTTGCGCAGCTGTTTTGACAAAGGATTGACGACTTGTGCAGCTTTGATGGTGGGGAACCGTCGGGTCGCGCACTCTTTTTCGTTTGGTCGGCTGGGCTCGGTTTTCCAACTTGCGCAACTTTGTTGACCAAGAATTGACGACCTGTGCAGCTTTTGAGATGGGGAACCGACGAGTTGTACAACTTTTTCGTTTTGTCGGGCCGTGCTCGGTTTTCGAAGTTGTGCAGCTTTTTTGACAGAGAATTGACGACTTGGGCGACTTTTTGATGGGGAATCGACGACTCATGCAACCTTTTTCCGTTTTGTTGGGCCAAGATCGGTTTTCGAACTTGTGCAGCTTTCCTAAAATATTAACGACTTGTGCAATTTTTTTGATGAGGAATCAACGACTTGTGCAACCTTTTCCGTTTTGTCCGGCCAGAATCGGTTTTCGCACTTGTGCAGCTTTTCTGAAAGAGAATTGACGACATGTGCAGCTTTTTGATTGGGCACCGACGGTCTGTGCAACCCTTTTCGTTTTGTCGGGCCGGGCTCGGATTTCGAAGTTGTGCAGCTTTTTTCATAGAGAATAGACGACTTGCGCAGCTTTTTTGATTGGGAACCGACGGGTTGCGCAACCTTTTCCGTTTTGTTGGGCAGTGCTCGATTTTCGAACTTGTGCAATTTTTGTGATAGAGAATTGACGACTTGTACAGCTTTTTGATTGGGAACCGACCGGCAGTGCAACCCTTCGACAACTTTGAAAACCGAGCCCGGCCCGACAAAACGAAGAAGATTGTAAAAACCGTCGGTTTACAATCAAAGAGGCTGCGCAAGTCGCCAATTCTCTGTCAACATAATTACACAAATTCGAAGATCGAGCGCGGCCCGGCAAAACGAAACAGGTTGCACGGCCCGTGGGTCCCCAAGCAAAAAGCTGCAGAAGGAAGTCATCAATTCTCTTTCAAATAAGCTGCACAAGTTCGGAAACCGAGCCCGGCCCGAGAAATCGACAAAGGTTGCACATGTCGTCGGTTCCCCATCAAGAATGCTGCGCAAGTCGTCAATTCTCTGTCCAAAAAACTGCACAACTTGGAGAACCGAGCCCGACCCGACAAAACGGAAAAGGTTGCGCAACCTGTCGGTTTCCAATCAAACAAGCTGCGCACTTTCAGACAAGCTGCACAACATCGGAAACCGAGGCCGACCCGACAAAACGGAAAAGGTTGTGCAACCCGTCGGTTCCCCATCACAAAAGTTGCACAAGTCGTCAATTCTCTCTAAAAAAATTACACAATTTCGAAAACCGAGACCAAGCCGACAAAACGAACAAAATTGCACAACTCGTCGGTTCCCAATCAAAAAACTGCACAAGTCGTCAAATCTCTTTCAAAATACTTGCACAACTTCGAAAACCGAGCCCAGCCCGACAAAACGAAAACGAAAAAGGTTGCACAACCTGTCGGTTCCCAATTCAAGAAACTGCACAAATCGTCAATTTTCTTCCAAAAAGCCAGACGAAACGGAAAAGGTTGCGCAGCTCGTCGGTTCCCAATCAAAAAGGCTGCGCAGGTCGTCAATTCTCATCCAAAAAACTTGATAAGTTCGAAAACCGAGCGCAGGCCGACAACGAAAAAAAACACGCGTGCTTTCGAACATGCCCGCCATTTTATCTGATTTCATACACGATCAACGGTTGATCTCGTTGGCATGCATAAGTTTTAACTTCTGCCGTCTGGGTCGTAAGTCTAAGTTTGTAAATTTAGAACTTATTGCTGCCATCCCAGATCTCTCTGAGCGCATCCTCATCCAAGGTGTCTTTGTACCTCTTACCGCCGAAGCTCGCGAGATGGTCATTCTGGCCGCGCTTCCGCCTCAGCCCGATGGCGCGGCCCTCTGTGGAACGCATCGCGCCGCGCCCTCGGGGGCCGCCGACCGCGGGGGGGCCGGCGTCGACGGCGTCTGCTTCCACGGGGGCGTCGGGCTCCAGCTGCTCTTCCTCCTCCCCCTCCTCGCCCGCGTCCTTCTCCATCGGCGGCGTCGGTTTTGCGGCTGCTGTTTTTTTCGGTCCCTGCGGGCTTCCTGGGCGCCGCTGCTGCTGGCCCACCCCTCTTCGCCGCCGTCGCCTTCGCCTTCGACGCCGCCGCCTTCGCTGCAAGCAGCGCGTTGGGCTGCTCCGTGTTCTCCACCCTGCCGTCGGGGGGCGCCGCGCTCAAGAAAACGCCGTCTCCTTTGGCCAGCCCCCCCCGTTCCTCCCTGTCCGCGAACTTCAGCGCCAAGCGCGTCGGACCGGAGTTGAAATCGAAAAACTTCGTCGGGGGATCCTGGGGCGGGTCGCGCACTTCTTTGCCCCTCCAGAAAGGGTCCACCCAAACTCCCACGGCAATGAACGGCGCGACAATCTATTGCCCCGCCGGAAGGGGATCAAACACAGGTGCGTTGTCATGTGCGAAAAACAAAACAAAACTATCATGCCGTTCCTCCCCCCCCCCTCCTTCCACGTCCTCCTCCTCCCCCCAGTCTGCCCGCCCCCCCGCCGATCGATCCTCCTTCGGGGCCGCCGCGGCGGGCGATTCAACGAACTCGCCCTCCGACGTGTCGACGTCATGCGACGACAACGCCATCGCGGGGCTGATGGCAACCTTGCAAGTTCCGGCTCTGGGGTGGGCCGCCGACATTTGCGTCGGGAGGTCAGGGGTTGGAGGCGCCGCCGACGGCCTGGAAGGACTTGGGTGGGGGGACAAGGAAGGAGGATAATAAGAGAGGGCGAGGCGAGAAGAGAAACAATAGAAGGGATAGGAGAAGAATACAAGGAATTCGTAGGACGATACCACGAGAGATTAGATAGCTCAGGGAACATATTCAGAATTGTTCTCTCGATGCGTCGCCGATGCGTCTTGTTTTTTAGTCGCGCAGAGAGAGATTGAGAGAGAATCATCATGCTAAGAAGGACAGGCGCGGTAGAGAGGCCGCAACCGTTTCGACAACGCCGATGCTGATATCATAATTTATGTTTCGTATTTTGACGCACTCGAAACCTCGTCGGCCCAGTCGCCAACGTCGCCACAGCTGGGATAGCAGCATCGGAATCCTGGCCGAGGACGCGTGCGTTCCATCCCGGGACACGCGCGGAGTAGCAGCATCAGCATCGGCAATATCGGTTTCTCGGCTTCGGTTTCTGACTGACGATCTGACGATTGTTTTTTTGCTATTCTACCTGAGCTGCGCTGCTTGCAACGCTCGCGCACAGCTGGCTCAGCCGCGCGCTCGACCATCCCCACCCCTGGGGACGGCGGCCAGAAAGCACGGCGAGCTCGGCCAGCGCTGCCGCCAAGGCCCGCGACGGCGGGAGCGCACTGCAAGAGGGTAGCGACTCGACCTGACCTCGGCCCGGGCCCGTCCTGGACTCCTGGATTCGCGTTTGCCGTTCGGGACCCTGCACATTTCAACGTTTGTATGCTGTCCGGTCGGGTCGAGCCGTCGCGCCCTGGGCGCAGACAGGCAGAGGGGGGAAAACTGAATTTGCGCATGTGTGATTGGGGAGAGATGGGCAGGAGATGGGAGGATGAGGATGTGAAAGAGTAATCTGAGGAAGGGATAGCAAGAGACGGGAGGAGTGAGGAGAGGCAGAGGCGAGGAGAAGGAGAGGGGGAGAGGAGGAGGAGAGAATGAGGAGAGGAGGAGGAGGAGGAAGAGGAGGAGGAGGATGAAGGATGAGGGAATGAGGAGGAGTAGGAGTGGTGGAAGGAAGAGTAGGAGGAGAAAAGAAAGACGGCGGACCACGGAGCCGCCGTCCCTAGGGCCAAGCAAGCCTATTTAATAAGGTGCTTGTTGGACGGCAGATCCTTCTTGGCCTTCGACTTGCACTTCGCCTTAGGCTTCGCCGCCGCGCTGCCCCCCTTCGCCTGCTTCTCGGCGTGGTCCGCCAGCGCAGCGGCGACGCCAAGCAGAGGGGTCGGTGAAACAGCGCCTCCTTGGGCCTTGAGCAACTTCACGCGGGCCTTCGCCGAGCGCTCGGCCTCCGTCATCTCGCGGGGCAGGAGGGCGCGAGCACCCGGATCGGCCTCCATGACCTTGGCGCCCTTTACGACGAGGCTCGGGATGTGGAGGGCGATCGCGATAGTGTCCTCCTTGATGGCTTGATTGGGGTATGTCTCCCACTACCGCTACCAACAAGTAGGAGGAGTAGGAGTGAGGGAGGGATCCGCTTCCTCTCCTCCTCCCGCCCTCATCTTTTCTTCTTCCTCACTTCTCCTCCTCCTCCTCCTCCCCCTCCTCCACCTCCCGGAAACAAGCCCATCGCATCGCCCACCGCTCGCCGCCTGCCTCTGGGGAGGGGGAGTCCTCCTTCTCCTCCTCCACCGCCTCCTCCTCCTCCTCCTCCTCTCCTTCTCCCCCTCTTCCTCCTCCCCTCCTGCCTCATGGTAATGGCAATGGAAAAACATACCCATCACTCCTTGCCGCCCGCCTCTTCGCGATCGTCGAAGAGGTAGCCGTCCACGTCCATGTGCACCTCGACCTCGTCGCTGACGTTGTAGAGCGTGGCCTTGTCCGCCTTCGCCTCCGCCTTCACGTGCCGCGCGAAAGCGGGGAAGTCCGCGGCGACCATGCTGCCGCCCGGGTGTGTGCAAGGCCCCATCCGACTCGATCGGCGTGAAGATCTCCTCGACCTTCGGCCCCGACGTGACGTGCGCCGACTTCCCGTGCATGCAACCATGCGCGCGGTACCGGACCCACAAGTAGTGATTGAGCGATGTCTCGATACTCTTGATCAGGAGGCCGTCGACGTTGGCGATATTGAGCTGCTTGGCGCCCTCGGAATCATTCGGCGACGCGCCCATCTTGCTGAAGTTGTGGACGTCTGACATCTCAAAGTAGACTTTCTTCGAGGTGACCGTCTGCGTCTGCGTCTGCTCGGCCTGCTCTGCTGCGGGCGGCTGCTGCTGGTCCGGGTTCGGGGCGAGCGCGTCGCAATCGCCAGCCGCGGCCGTCGCGCCATCGTCCTTCGCCTCCGCCTCCGCCTCCGCCGCGTCAACGGCGCCTGCGCCCGAGCTCTCAGGCCTCTTCGCAGCGCTCTTGCCGTTGACAAAATCCTGACAATACTCAGTGAGGGCCTCCTCCGTCTCCAGCTTGAACACGTGCTGCCAAATCCCGACCCAGTCACTGGGCCAATTTGTGAAAAGATGCAGACGCCTCAATTCCACAGAGCAGGCGCATCGGCAACATCGACAAGGCGTCCTTCTTGATAATGAAGTGCTGCTGCAAGAGTTTGAGCATTGGGTTGGCCTGGTCGTCCGCTTTCAACTTCCCGAACTCTGCCAGAGTCTTGACTCCGTGCAAGGTATACATCACGCGAGTACTGATGAAGCTCTCGAGCGACTCAACGTTCGGGAAAACAGCCTCAGCAAACGCAGGGACGCGGCCCAGCCGACTAGCTATGACCGAAATAGCAGCAACCGACTCGATCATCTTACAGGGAAGGTGCTTATCCATCACGTTGCCGATGGCCACGCAAGCGTACCGGATGTCCATCTCGTACCCAAGCATGGAGAGCTCGCGCGCCATGTCATTGCAATTCTTCTGCAACGTGGGATGCGTGTTGGCGTTCTCGTTCAAAAATGTGCGGATCTCGATCTCCTGGGCCTCGAACATCCTCTCCGCGTCGGCGCTGGACACGTCGTCTTCGTGCTCAATGTCGTCTCCAATCGTGATCTCGACTGGCTTGAGACAGATGTCGAGTATGCGCTGTGCCACGGCGTCGGGGTCGTCTTCAGATGACTTGTTGTCACAGTCAGTCGTGCCGAAAGTTCCGGTAGCGCGCCTGGTAGCAAGCGACGCCATCGATTGCAGATCTTCGCGGAGCTTGGAGTAGATCTTGAACGCCTTGCCGTTCATCGAGACCTTATGGAGAGCGCGTGGGAGCGAGCGAGGATGAGAGGCAGTCTCGAGGCCCTCTTGGACCCCAGCCTCAAGAGGGCTCCGAGGGCCCCTCAGGGGCCCAAGGGGGGGCCCTTGACAGCCGACAGCAGGGGCAGGGGTGCTATCTTGGGGCCCCACCTGGCCTCTGGGACTGGGCCCCTCTTTTGGGCCCCTCCGACGTCCTTGATATAGACACGACGGCCACAAGCCCTAGAGAGCTCCACTATGCACCCACGGGCCTCACGATCGGTTGCTCAAAAGCGCCCAAGGGGCCCAAGGTGGCACCACTACCAAGAGTCTCCAAGAGGGCCCGAGGGCCCCACCCAGCCCCGCCCCGAAAGGCTCCAAGACTCGAAGGGGCCTCTCAGCCTGAGCGTCCTGGGCATTGGGCCCTCTAAACATCTGAACATCTGAGGGGGGGTGGAGGGCGCGGAGGGGGGGGGGGGGCAGTCGACCTCCTCGGCGAAACAGAACTGCAGGAAGATCGAGTAGGCCTCGCAGCGCGTCCTCCAAGCGACCTTCTCATCATGATCCTTCCCGAGTGAGTGCTCGACGGCGCGAATCACGTCGTCGAGGACCGTGGCCGGGCGGCCAACTGCAGCGTTCCCAGTGAGCGGAGTGACGATCGCCACGAGCTCCTCGGCCGCGCACACCACGCCAGCAGGAAGGGCAGGCTCACCGTTGTCCTGAGGGGACGGGGACGCGGACTTCCCAAGGTTGCCGCGGCCGCGACCGCGACCGCGACCCTTCCCGCGGCGCTGCATCTTCAGCGGCGGCTCCTCCTCGGGCCCTGCAGCAGCCTGGGCATCATGGGTTGCTCTGGCGTTGGCTTCCTCCATCTTCTGTGCGTGTTCAGCGATGGCTCTCGCGACCGCCTGAGACCGCGCCGAGGCCACTTTCCTGCCTGCGGTGGTCCCTGCAATGGGCATGTTCAGCAAGTCGAACATGTTGAGCGTGTGCTGGCCCAGCTGCTTGAACAACCACGGCAACTTGCGCTGCATGTCTCTCAGCTTCTGGCCATCCTTGCGCTCGGGCATTGGGACGCACAGTTTCAGGCCCTCCAACAGCATGGCACCCACGATCTCCTTCGAGTAGAACTTCCCAAGCACGCCGACGACCTTGAGCGTCCACGCGTGCAGCACGTTGATTGCTTGGAAAGAGTTCAGGTCATCATTCAAGAAGTTGACGTGCTTGATTCACCACTTCTCGAAGGCTTCGAACACTCCAGAGTTCTCCCATTTGTGTGCAACGGACTTCGTGTTCACAAAGTGTCTCCAAGATACCATTTTGATCGGGCTGTCCATCTCTCCATCAATGATTTCCGTGACGAACTCTTCGCACTGCAGCTCATATGAAGGGTTACCAGTTGCAACGATTCCCCATTTGTGACAATACGCATGCCAGCGGGATTCCCACGCGAGGGCCTTGTGAATGGCCTGCCAAAACGTCGGTTTGGACCCTCCATGATAATGATTGTGAAAGTCACATATCCATGAAAGAGAAAAATCTGGAGCCTCCTCGTTGATCATGCGGCACTTCAAGCCGTTCTTCAACGCAGCCTGAACAAAAATATTAGTTGGTTGCTCTTCATGTGCTCGGTAGAAAGCCTGGCTGAGATGGTTATACGTGCAAGCGAAAGCTGGCAGACTGCGCTCCTGCGGCCGCATCTCCAAACCAAACCACCCACATCCCTCCCCTCAAAGATACCCCCGTCTTGACGCGCAAGGCGGCGCCACCGCCGCCCTCCGCCCTGCGCGTCCAGACGAGGATAACTTGATGAGTGGTGGGTGATGGTTTTGTTTGCGACCAGATGTCCTTCGAAGAGTAATGGAACCAAGGCTCACCCCTGGTGCCGGTCGACAGGCCAGAGTTCAAAATCCTGCACTTGTACTCCTCCACCACTGTCTCGGAAATCGGCCTGTTGCGCGGCGAAGGAACAATAGACGGCTTCGTGCATGCCTCGTCCAGAAACCACTGTAAATGCAACGGCCCTGCGTCGAACTTCCCCCAGAAGCGATCGAGCATGATCGACCCGTCGACCGACGCTGCCGAGGAGGGTCTTCATCTGATTCTTGAGAGCCTGCCTATCTGCCTTCTGCGCCTCCACCACATTCCCCGCCGGCGCCGACGTCGGCGTCCGAGGAGCCCAGGGTCGGATGTGGCGCGGGAGCTGACGAGCGGACGAGCGCAGCTTGCGACCTGCGGCAGGTTGCCGAGCTGATCGAGCCAAAACTGGCTGCCACGGAGGAGTCGGAGGAGGAGTATGGGGGAGTGATGCACTTATGAGCAAGCAGCTTGAGCATCGTTTAACCGATCCCCATCATCCCCAGCGGCGCCGTGGCCTGTAGATGGTGGTATTAGGCCGTTCCCTTGGGTTTCGAGGGGTGTGTCCGACGTGTCCCCGGCTTGGGGGTCTTGGTTGGTGGCAGTGGGGGTGTGGGGGTCTCGAAGGCGATGTGATGGGCGATGGTGATTGGGGATGGGGGGATGGGGGGATGGGGGTCGGATAAACGATACCAGACTGAGCTTAGGAACTCAGGATATGTGAGGGCTCAGGAGTCTCAGGAGCCCCATTGCACTGCAGCTTGCAGCATCGCCACGGGGTGGGCTGACTTATCGAGCGAGAGAGCGAGAGGAGAGGGAAGCGTCCAGCATGGCGCGGACGACAACAGTTTCCCCGGCGAGTGCGGCCCCATCCTGGCCCTTCGATTTGGCAGCGGCAGGGTCGACCGATCTACTAATCAAGAATCAAGGGTCAAGGGCCGGGCCGACTGCGCTGGCCCCGACAGGCAGCCCCAGGCCCCAGGATGGGGATATGGCATATGGGCTGCGGCTGCAAGAGTTTGTGTGTGCGCGTGTGTGTGTGTATGTGTGCGTGCATGTTTGTTTGTTTGTTTGTTTGTTTGTTGGTTGTTTGGTTGTTTGTTGGCCCAAAGTTGTTGGCTTGTTCGTTTACTTGCTTACTTGTTTGCATATGCTTATGCTTATGTGATTGTTTGTTTGCTTGTCATGTGTTGTCACGTTGTCTTTGTCTTGCTTAGCTTCTTGTTTGTTGTTTGGTTGTTTGGTTTGTTGTTTGTTTGTTTGTTTGCTTGGGCCCGGGCTGGGCTCCTCAGATCCCCCCGCCCCTATCCGACCATATCACTCACTTCTTTGTATTAGGTCCGGAGTCCTGCTCCTTCTCTGTGGCGAGTCGTCAGCGTACTTGACGAATCCAATCCGCAATGAATTCGAGTCGGTCGGGGCGGCCGCCCCACCGCGGCGACCAGCGGCGGCGACCAGTCGGGAAGACAGGCTGAAGACAGGCGCCGCAGTGCCTACACACTGCCACTGCCACTGCACTGCACGCTGCACAACTACACGCTCGCCCGGGATCCCAAACATTGCAGCGCTAGCGTTGTTTAACAGGAGCAAGGGAGCAAGGGCAAGGCCGCAAGGTCTTCTATACTTAGACTTAGACGTGCTGTGTGGGGTCCGCTGGCGCATCTCACGATCTCACGACCTACCGGCGGGCGATCACAACGCCGCCGTCGCCGCCGGACCCCGCGGGCCCTGGAGATGACTTCCCATGATGGCGCTTGCGAGTGCCCCGGCCCTTGTCCCTGGTATCCTTGATCGGCTTAGGAACGTGCATGCTCATGGCAATCGCAGTCAACATCGCATTCTCCCTAAAAGCTAAGTTGCAATAGCCAGCGAGGGCAAACACGCCAGCGACCGATACGATCATCGTGTTGCCCGCCTGGCCAGCCACAACCCGATGCTTACGCTCTGCACGCGCGTTGAAAGAGCACAGCATGTCACTCTGAGATCGTTGTGGGTATACTGGGTGGATCGGGAAGCCCTGCGACACCAGCGCCTCGGTCGGGCTGAGCCACCGCCGGGGCGACTCGGCGGTCTCGCCTCCAGCTGCCTTCGCACGCCAGGCCGCTGGGGGGCCAGGAGGATGAAAACAAACTCAACAGAGAATCAGAGAAACAGAGATTCCTTCCCAGTGATTCTGTAAGGGACCAGGTGACCAGGAGGAGGAAGAGGAGGAGGAAGAGGAAGAGGAAGAGGAAGAGGAGGAGGAGACCCGAGGTGGCTGGAACATATTGAACATATTGTCGCCTTAAGGCGAACATCTGTTCCAGTCCAGCGTCTTGGAGGTAGGGGGGGGAGTAGTGAGTAGGAGGAAGATGAATTGCTGGCACAGATTTTCGCCTTAAGGTGAAAATCAGTTCCAACCACTCGGCCACTCGGCCGATCTGTTCAAGGAAGTTGCGAGGTTAAGGTTGGCCTCGGAAGGTGACCCGCAGGCCTCCTGGCCCCTATGGTCCCGAGGCCCCCTGGACGGGAAGGAAGAAGGGGGAAAGAGGGAAACGCCCAGGGGCCCAGGCGCCTGACGCGATCCGATGCTGTCAGCGAAGATAATGTGGTTCCGAATGAGGGTGTGGAGGTCCGTAGAAGTGCTCGCAGTAGTGTGCGAGTTGGCGTCCTGGTTGATCTGCCAGGCGGCGTAATCGAGCAAGTTCGACTTCTCCCAGATGGAAAGGGTTTTGAACCACGCATCTGGCGTGCGTGCGTTCACTGCAGCTTCGCCTTTCATGCACGAGGAAGGGCGAGCCTGCGCCCAAGCCAAGTCAGTATCCAGCTCGTTGTCGATTGCTCCACGGTGCAGGTCTGCTGAATCCTCTATCCCATAGAACATATGTTGGAAAAAGTTCTCCCTCGATGAATACGTAGCAAGCCTGTAGAACCTTTTACAAAAACGTGACAGCGGCGATATCTGCGGAAGCGCCTTGTACTTGTGCGTCAACTTGGTCCATTTCCTCGTCCGGATCGATGGCCGCCCGAACATGCGAGGGTCTAGCAAGACGCTGTCTATCCAGTAGGTATCCCCCAGGAATTATGATCGTATAGCTAGGTGGAACCCCTCTACGTCTTCCTGCTCCACTTCCGCCTCCTGCAGTAGCAATCTGAGGCCGATCCACGCGAGAAGTGGAACAATCGTCCAATGGTGGATGCCTGTCTGCGGTCCCTGTTTGCTGAACGCCGTGCAGCTCGTCCCAGCCGCGTGGTGTCTCGCAGGTTTCAAATAGCAGTACTTCTTGTGGACGAGGCACCACCCCTTGCTGGTCACCGCGCCGCCATTGCGGATCGCGGGCCTCAAGACCTTCAGAATCTCAAATCAAAAGAAATCTGACCGATCGGCAGATCGACTCTGACCGACGACTGGCTGGTCGACCAGATCACAGGCCGACGCGGAGTCAACGTCGGCCTGTGATCTGATCGACAAATCAATCGGTCGTCAGCCTAGTCGATGAGTCGATCGGATATCAGCGATCTCGATTCGAGCAGGCCTTGTAAGCATGTTGAGGATCCTCCAATAGAGCGTTGACCTGGTCCTGCAGTTCTGGGATGAAGAATTGCGTGATGTCTCCGAACAGACAGCCTCCAGTCGGCGCTAGGAGGATCTGTAACTCCTTCTGCGCATCCTCGTCCCACTCTATGGCATACAAAAACCGAGGTGGGTGAATGATCTTCTTCTTCTTGCGCCCAAGGGCCTGGCATATACAGTTGATAGCGACCTCTGGTGCCCCGATCCCCGAGTAGGCAGTCGAGCGCGTGTCCCACGACAGCTGCTCCTCAAGGTGATCTAACATGTCCATGCCCTCGGGGCCCTCGGTGCGCTCGAGCTCATTGATGAATCAGTGGCCCATTCAAACGAGTCGCGAAGATCACGGCATACCTTGGGGTCGCCGCGGTGGTACTCGGCGTAGGCTTGCGCGATGCTGGTGCAGATGGGGAGCATTGCGCCGGTGAGCTGCCACTCGTCCGCCAAGGAAGGCGCGGGGGGAGCAGTCTCGCCTGTCTGGACACGGGTCGAGACGGGGGCTGCGCGGCGCCTGCGACGCCGACGGGGCAGATCTGCCAGCGTCGACTCCGCATCGCCATGCTGACCAGGCTGCAGCCGCGGCGGCGGCGGTGGCGCAAGGGCCCCGTCAGGCAGCAGTTCTTCTGGCAGCGCGGCCGCCGCAGCCAGCGGCGCGGAAGAGGAAGCAGCCAGCAGCGCGCCAGCGGCCTCGGCGCTTCCCTCGGGCCCCTCGGGCTCGGGTTCGGGCGCGAGCGCGGCCACGGCGGCGCCGCCCACGCCTGTCACGCCTGTAGTAGTTGGCTGCTCTGTCAGCTCTTGCCTCGCGCCCACCTCGCGGTGCTCAGCGTGCTCGGCGATGGCCGCGGCCCCCGAGCCGTCTACCGAGGGCTGAGGACCTGGAGCTGCTGGCGCCGCGGCCGCGGCGACCTCTGCCGCGGGCGCCTGGGAGCCGTCGAGCTGGCCATCAGCCGCGGCCTCCTCTGTCTCAGCCTCCTGCGGTGGCAGCGGCTGCGGAATCGGTTGCTCCTCTGGCGCCACGCTGGCAGCACCGCAGCCAGCCGCCAATGGCTGTTCGGGCTGCTCTGCATCTGCATCCACTGGCTGCGGCAAGCCCGCAGCTGCTGGCGCTGCAAAGGAGGCAGAGGTGGCGTCGCCGCACTCCGCCGCGGGCGCCAGGGTTTCCAGCTGCAGCGGCTGCGGTCCATCTGCGGCGGCATCATGTTTCTCTGCTGCAGCTGCATCTCGAAGCGGCTGCGGCAGTTGCTCTGCTGGCGGCGCGGTGGTGATATCCTCCGCCGCGGGCTGCATGCCTGG